GTTTTATCTAGTGAAGTTAATTTCGTGTTTCTTCCAAACCCTTAATTTCTAAGTTGTGTTGCTAGAATTGTGATGGTTGAGTCATGGGTTTTGGGGAAAGTTGGTTTGGTTCTTATAACACCCATAAAGGGGGGGGGGGTTGATAAAATGTTGAAATCCACGGTTGCATGCCCTACTTTGTGTTGATCTTTGTCATGAAATGAATGAGTGGAATTGAAAAATGATAAATGGGATGTTTCTAGAAGGAAATGGCTTAAGTATTTTTGCATATTAGAATCAAGTGTGATTCTAGAAGGAAATGTTTGAGCCATTTAGAAATAGTTAAGCGATTTTGCATATTAGAATCGGGTGTGTTTCTAGAAGAAATTTGCTGAGCGATTTTAAAATAACTGGTCAATTTGGTGCTTTTTGAATTTGACTTTGTTGTCTTTATAAAAGTTGTAGCCCTATATGTTATCTTTCCAATGACTTTGGATTTACCTAAAAAAGAGGTATAGAAATCCAATTATGCCTTTTTTAATGAGTAGAGGTCAAATTGTCAGCATTTAGATAAACTATTGCGATTTTTGTGACTTTTAACATGGTAGATGATGGAATTAGGACCTCAGGTCTTCAAGAGAGTTGTAGATAATCTTTTTTATCTCTCATATGAGATAAATATGAGTTTGATTGGATTAATGGAACTCCAATTATGTTTTATTATGTGAAAGTTATCATTGTATGCCAATTGATGATTTCATGTTAAAAATGATTTGTTAATTCCCTTATAACATAGGGTAATATATGATGTCTAGGTTGTTATATAGTAAATTATTGATATTTAGATGATGTTAAACGATAATAATTGATGATGAATACTATTGATGTTAAGTTGTATATTGTTGAACATGAAAAATTGTATAGTTGTAAAGTTGCATGTTGTATAAAGCAGTAAATTTGTGGACATGTGATTGAGATACATGTCTAAGTTGAGATACATAGATGTTGGAGGTGAATTAAGTTGTTTCCCTCTAAGATCTATGTGATTTTGTATGGAAGTAGTTGAATCATACCTTAGTTGAATGACTAACCGAGTAAAGTACAAAGTTGGAGGTTAAAATCCCTAACCTAGTATTGGAGGGTTGTGGTATTTGGAAGATATTCAATTGGATTATCTCATAGGTGACATAATTAAGCTAGCTAATGTCGTGGTAAACTCATACCCAAACTGTCCTATCTTGACATAATACTATACTTCCTTGTTTAAGTAGCAAAGCCTGAGAAATCAAACTAAGTTGTCAATACTTGGCTCTCTTACGAGGCTTAATGTTGTATTATACCTAACCTGGTTGAGATAGGTCTAATGTTGTGATTCGATAGGAATAAACCACTTAAACTGCTCAACTTCAGTTGTAGGATATCTTCATTAGTTGACATGTGTGACAATACATTAGATGCTAATATTTTGTTTGAGTGTCGATTATAAGTTCTTAAGTTGTGTGTTGTACTATTACTAACCATTGCTTTTGTTGTTTTGTCATGTTGTATATTATTTCTTTCATAAGCTTATCCTTCTTTTCCTTGTGGTTGGGATTGTGATGACCATACTTGGTATGCGAGTAAGGTAGGATTAGGTGTTTGGCTTGCAAGATGGCGACTGTTTTGTGTGATTCCTCCGATGAAATCATATTTTGGAGTCCTCAACTAGTTGTATAGAGGATGTTTGTAGTTGTATAAAGGATGTTTGTAGTTGTATGTTATTTGATGTATATAGTTGTGTACTAGATTGTATATGTTGTGTACCTCCGGTACATTTTACTTTATGCATGAGATTTCTTCCATTTAGATATTGATCTTCAGTAGAAAGTGTGATAGTTGTAGACACCGAATTTCATCCGGGGGCATACAAACAAGGAAATGGACTTCCATTATCGAAGGAAAGAAGTTTTCGAAGCATGGAAACAACAAGACATGGCATCAGAAAGCCTAAAACCCAAATAAGCTGGTTTTAGTAGTCCGGAACGGGTTGTTCCAAAACTGGAACGGGCCGTTCCAGTTTACAAAAAGGGCCTAAAACCCTAGTTTGGAACGGGCTGTTCCAAGTGACAAAAAAGGCCTAAAACTTTAGTTTGAAACGGGCCGTTCCAGCACCAGAACGGCCCATTCCAATATACGAAATTAACACAGAATGGTCAGATCCACAACGGACCGTTCTGATTTTGAAACGGGTCGTTCTGACAACTTTTTGATGTCTATAAATAGACAGCTCGGGCACAGTTCTTAGGACACAAAAATTTCGTCCAAGACTCCTTAGAACTCAAAATTTCTCTCTCTCTCCCTGCTATTGTATTTCTTGAGATTTGTGAGGCATTTGTGTAGTGTGAAAGGTTGTTACAAAACACCTAGAATTTCCATATCGGAAAATTTAACAAAGCTTGCTACGAGGTATTTCAATCAATCTTCTTCTCTCTCTCTTTTATTTCTTATTTTTGATAAGTTTTGTTATAATAAAAGCAATCATGTAGATATTTTAGAGTCAATTGTTTAATTTAAATTTCAAGCATGTAAATAGTCATCAATAAAAGGGGATTTAATATTTATATTATTATTGCTTATAATATTAACTTCGTCATAGGATACCGATTAAGGGCATTGTAGGGGTGTTTAATGCCTTCCTTACACGTAACCGACCCCCGAACCCAATTCTAGTTATCAAGACCATTATTGGTTTTTTTTAAAAAAACCTTTTCTTTTTCCAATATTTTGAGTAAAACATTGGTGGCGATTCCATGAACCCATTTTTCAAAAACCATTAATTAAGGATTAGTCTGGTGTCCAAACATTCCTTAATTGATGCGATCTTTAAAAAGATGTCTAAATCATAGGTCGCAAGATAAAAAATTTTCGGGTTGTGACAATAGTTTGTTGTGTAATATCCATTTTTTTATTATTTATTTATTAAGGACATTTTAGTAAATTTATTAAAGGTATAAGGGTATTTTTGTAACGTGGAACGAGCTGTTCCAAAAGAACGGGCCGTTCCAAGCATTAAAAATGAACTGAGTTTGAAGATTCAGAACGGGCCCAGAACGGGCCGTTCCAAAAGGAGAACGGGTCGTTCTGGTTTTGGAAAGGGCCGTTCTGGAGGGAGAACGGGCCGTTCCGGAAGGAGAACGGGCCATTCTGGATGAGTCTCGAAACGGGCCGTTCTGATTTTTGGGAACGGGCCGTTCCGATTTTGGAACGGGCCGTTCCAGTTTAAAAATTTACGTACATTTGAAAGATTCGGAACGGGCCGTTCCGAATTCAGTACGGCCGTTCCGGGTGACTCAGGTTGCCTATAAATAGGAGGCAGGGGGTGAAAAAAATATAACTGGAGAGAAGAGAATCCTAGAGAGAGAGAAAGAAAGAGAGAGGAGGAGAAAAGAAAAGAGAGAGGAGGAGAAAAGAAAAGAGGAGAGAGAAAGAGGAGATTATGTTATATATTTTGGAAACAATTTATATGTTATTGTATATTTACACTCTAGCGTACTTTTGCTCTATTTTCTTTATTTTATATTATTTTATTTTGGTTGGTTATTGATGTGACGGCCTAGGGTGGGTCGTTACATGTTGGGTTGTTACAATTACATTGTTATATCAACGATAAAAACTAACATGAAATAGAATATATGGTTTAAGATTTGAATTTCGATATTGAGTACATAATTGACTGTCTAGAAATTAAATAATAATGTAAAAAATATATTTACATCAATGTGTTTCAATTAAATTCAATTTAATAGGTTAACTTAATGGTGAGAAGTTAGAATATAATGACAGGATGTTAGATTCAAATTTTGGTATTGTCACAGTAATTCTAATGAATAAAAATATTTAATTAAATTTTAGATAAACACATTAATGGAACAGGTAGGGGCTTTGTATCCTCGTCTCTTAAGAAATTTCATGTTTTTAATAAATATATAATATGTCTTAGTATTAAAATAAATTTAATTAAAAATTCAATAAATATATAATGAATTATATTGTGTTTTTATTACTTGTAAACTTTTAACTATCTTGCTACATTATTCGAAATTAAATATTTAAATAATTATAATGTAAGAAGAAAAAAATTAACCACCCCAAGCTAAGCTTCTGGGCCCGTTCTATATATACACATAAATTGATTATTTTTATTTTTATTTTTTTGAAAAAACATAAATTGTTTTCTGTCTATGGAATGTGCAGCTTTACATCGAAGTTTTCGTTTATAAAGAAGTGAATGGGAACATGAAATGAAAAGGTTACTTTAATGAAGATTTGTACCATTTCAGCTATAATTTACGTGAAAACAATTTTTGATAGTTCACGCATAAACATATTTTTATTTATATATTTTTTTCATGTGTTGTTCATAAAACACAGTTCACGTATCAAAAAATGACAAGGATGGGTTTTAATTAAGGTGTGAGGATAATTTTGACGACTACTGAGAAAATGATCTAGCTCTTGAAAGCTTTGACATTTTTTTTTTCTTGACAGTAATGTTGAAATTCATGTATCATAATCCTATAAACCAATGAAGTTTCTCACCACCAATTATTTTTCGGTGCTCGTCATTTTTAATTCATATATCTAATCATTTCAATTCAAACTTATAAGATGCAGTTAAATTCAGTGAAACAAAAGTTTAGTTCCATTCAATTTGTTCAAACTAATTTCCAATATAGTTATGGAAAATATTTTTCAGTTCAGTTCAGTTTATCTTTCCCACCACTAGACACAAGCATTTTATGAAATACATAAATAAATAGGAAATTACCTTCAAAATCGTTCTAGGTATCAATTAGAAATCATCATTAGCTCAACTGTAACTTGATTCTAGTAATAATTACTTTAAAATTGGTGCTTATTTTCCTCAAACATGTGAAAATAAACAGGTTAAATATTACTTTTTCATATGTAACTCTTGCTCAACTGTAACTTGAACATAGTAATAATTACAGTAAAATTGTTGCTTATTTTCCTCAAACAAATATGAAAATGAACAGTTTAATATTAGTTCTCCATGTAACTCTTCAGAGTTGTCCCTTTGTTTTGATATTTCGAACTATAGATTTAACAACATGGACCATGACAAAACTGAAATAGGCTTAGTTACATTACATACCCCTGCCAAAACTGAATTATATCTATTATTCACCTATGATTCATAAATATTTTAACAAAGACAACATCCTGTAATTCCTTATAACATTTTTAAAATTTCTAAATCACATGTTGGTTTCACAAGGTGAAGTATTCCCAAATCAATTTCTTCACAAGTAATCTGCCTCAAACTCTAGAAAGAAAGCCATTCAAGAGCCAAGCTGTTGAGCTACGCTGGAGACTCAATCATGTCATAGCAATGTAGCAGTCTAGCAGAACACAACCCTTACTTTCAAACATTCAAATACTTAAGGGCAGTTTGAACATCCTTATCCCCTCGGCCACTGCAGTTAACCACAACCTTAGTTCCATTTGGAAGGGTAGGGCAGAGTTTCTCTAGATAAGCCAGAGCATGAGATGTCTCCAAAGCTGGAATAATACCTTCCAGCTGAGATACTCTCTTAAAGGCTGCAGATTAAAAAGCACCCCAACATTTGAGACAAAGAAACAAGATACAAGGTATAAAAGCAATTTCAACTTCTGATCTTGGAAAACAACATATTATATATGTTAATAGCTCTACATGATAATATATGCATGTTGCTAGTCAAAATGCAACCGTATGTATGGATCCTAATGTTAACTCATCAAACAAACAAAAGAAACACCACATTAAGAATTGTATATAACAAAATGAATATTGAACCCGGAATTCTGATTCATAACAGCAGCTACCATTAACATATTACTATCTATGCTAACAAAATGGAGTCATGTCTGAATTGAAGATACCACTTTACTCCTATGTGATTGAACTGATAAGAAGGAGTTATACTTCTTTATTAAACCAAAATAAATAAATAAATAAGCCACCATGAAAAAGGAGGAAAATAGTTTCACCTTGTACAAGTGATCACTTGTTATAACTTTTTCATAGACGTCAAGACACTTCACTCTTCCCTTTCTTGCTTATCTCCATTTTATCTTGTAGTTATATCTTTATCTTATGTATTTGAAGATTTATAAAGAGAATAAAAAGTGATAAAAAGCAAAGAAAAGCAAGACAAAAATAAACCATGACAAATAAAATTATTCAAGGGTGTATGACTCATTTTCGACTGAAGATATCACTAAACATTTGGCTAGGCAATAGATATAGAGTAGTCTTACCTTCCAGTGCTTCTTCATCAGTAACACTGTAGTATTCAGCACGCCCTACATCTTTCAAGAAACTATGCTCTGGTCCAACCCCAGGGTAGTCCAACCTATACAACGAAAACAAGAAAGCAAAACTGGCATGAACAAAATCTGGATAGACAAGAGAAAGAGTAAATAAATACTAACCAGATGAATTACCCTGCACTAATGGAGTGAGGCTCAATTATTTGCCCGTCATCATCCTGCAAAAGATAACTCATTGCTCCATGCAAAACCCCAATTTCTCCTTTGGTTAAGGTAGCTGCATGCTTACCACTTTCTAGGCCCAACCCAGCAGCCTCCACACCAATCAGTCTAACATCTTTGTCATCAATAAATTCATGAAAAAGTCCCATGGCATTCGAACCACCACCAACACATGCAACCAGAACATCTGGCTTCCCTCCCCACTTTTCCAATGCTTGCTTTCTTGTTTCTTTGCCAATAACTGCTTGAAACTCTCTAACCATCATTGGATACGGATGTGGCCCTGCAACAGAACCCAAAATATAATGTGTTGTCTCCACATTGGTCACCCAATCCCTTATTGCTTCCGATGTAGCATCCTTCAGCGTAGCAGTACCAGAATGAACTGCTCTGACCTACATCACAAAATTAGCCAATCATCTAGCCCAATGGAAAAAACACAAACAGTCAAGCCTTCTCCCATTATGTGAGTTCAGCCACATAGGCCAAACAGCATCATTAGACTCTACCAAAAACAAATAGTTTAAACCTAAATGCCTTGCAACAGATACACTTTGCATTCACTATAAGATGTCTTTCCCCATGCCTATTTCCAAGTTCAAACTTAGTCTAGAACACCAAGAAACTAACAGTAAACTGATAGCCATCAAGACCAGTCAAATAGACAATAATTCACATGAACTAACATGACATAAAGAGAAATAATATCTCATAAATTTCTCATTCTTACACAAAATCTACCAACCTACTAAAATATTAACTGTTTATAGCCATCGTGCTAAGGAAAATAGAAACTAATTCATTCATCCCCACAAACTCCTGCTACCTCATTTCATATCTATTGATATTTAAGATTAATACACACAGATTAAAAAACATTTAATAGATGTAAAATATTAATTTATTATACTTTAGACTAAAATATTCTTATTTAATATTTCATTGATAAATTACTATTGCAACAACTGTTAAATAAGGGTATAAGTGGAGGGGAAAAGTAATCAAATTTTGAATTTGCAAAACATCAATATTTAAATAAAATAATAATAGTCAAAACACTAACCTATATGAGGGAGGTACTTCTATATCAAATTCACCAACATGTAAGCATTTTCTCGTAAATATTCTCATCCCCATTTCCCATTCCACATAATATAGAAGTGATGATACATAAACATCAATATTATACACTCCATAAGAACTTAGGAGAAATGCTAATAACACACTCTACCATTGGTAAACTTTTTTGCAAATCGCAATATTTAGCAAGTCTCAACCTATTCAGACTCATGATTTTATAATTTTCAATAAATTTTAATTAATCATAAAGTGAGTAAGAGAGTATTTTGCTAGTGGAACCACTAGGATCTTCCTAGTGGTAAGAGTTGGAGTAATTTGCATAAGGTCATTCAAACCTTGTCACCACCGCTGTGCAGCAACAAAAAAGAGTACTTTGCTAGAGGAATCACTAGGGTCAGCCTAATAGTGTGGGTTGAAATAATATGCAGAAGATCCTAGGTTCAAACTTCATTACTATCACTATACACCACCAAAAATAAGTATTTTGCTAGCACTCGACAAACACCTATTATTTTTCTCCGAGCCTATTTGGATACAGTCTAAAAGGACTTTTGAGAGCTTCTCTACTAAAAATAAAGAGTATATTTCCGGTAGAGAAGCTCTTAAAGTCATTTTAGACTCATCCCCAAACATGCTCTATATCTATCTTTTCCAATCACATAGTATTACATATCCTAAGTACATATCACTGTCCACCAATCTTGTTTCAAAAGTACCATCCTACTAAACCAAAACACAAGTAAAAAAAGTGGGTAGCGAACACACCTCAGCGCCCAAAAGGCGCATCCTGAACACATTAAGAGCCTGTCTCTCCATATCCTGAGCCCCCATATAAACCACACACTCCAGCCCAAACCGGGCACACACAGTGGCAGTGGCAACCCCATGCTGTCCAGCACCGGTCTCAGCAACCACCCTTCTCTTCCCCAATTTCCTCGCAAGCAAGGCCTGAGCAACCGCATTGTTGATCTTGTGCGCACCCGTGTGGTTAAGATCCTCCCTCTTCAGATACACCTCGGGCCCTCCGCCGCCGTCGCCGCCGCGCGCGTAGTGGCGCGTGAGCCTCTCCGCGAAGTAGAGGGGGCTCTCGCGACCCACGTAGTCCCGCAGAGTCTCCGCGAGCTCCTTCTGCGAAAGATGGAAACTTTACCGGTTTTGGAAGACACCCTTTTGCGAAAATTCAAATGGGGTGCGAATGGAACAGAGAGAGAGAGAGAGAGAGAGAGAGAGAAGAGAACCTGAAAGTGTGCGTCGGAAGCGAGGGAGTGGAATGCGGATTCGAGTTGGGTGAGGGCGTGCATGAGAGTTTCCGGGACGTACTTGCCGCCGAAGCGGCCGTACCGGCCGGAGGAATCGGGTCGAGGTGGTTGGACCGAACCGGTGGCGCGGTCCGACATTGGAAGAACGGTGGGGTGGTTGTTTTGGTCTGAGAATGAATGAGGAGGAAGAAGTGGATGAATGGTAATTTTGAGGGGTTTGAAGGGTATGCTTGTTTGTTGTGAAAAAGAGAAGGATACTGAATAAAGGTTAAAATTTATTATCCAAATTTAGTGATTTATAAATAAAATAAAAATGGTAAAATGATTTATATAAAAATGAACATGAAAACGGTTGCTAAAAATATTATTTTTTTATATAGTGGCACAAATTATTTGTAATTTAAAATAAATATTTTTAGTTTATATATTGATTTTTATTAATTATTTTTAGTTTTTTTATAGTTTAAGATATATCGTTTTAATTTTATATTTTTAATTTTTAAATTCTTTTTTAGCTTTTTTAATTAAATTTTATGTAATGTTGTCTCTTTTGTATTTATATAATAGAATAGAGGTTTTTCAGTTTTGTAAAAATTTAAAAAAAAAACACTAAAATGAAGATAGTGAAATAACTATCTTTAAATACTAGACCCAAATCTTAAATCTTAAATTTTATTACTTTTAGAAAAAGAAAAGATAAGTAAAAATAGTCTTAAATTCAAATGCAAATCATAAGATGTTTTTGATTTTCATAAAGTATAAAATTAGGCTTCAAATTAGTACTAGTAAAATAAATGGATACTACAATAAATTTTTAAATTTGTCATATTTTTGGTAAATGAAAGTTTAGATTAGGGTAATACATGACCCATGAAAGATTAGATTCAACTACCAATCTCTTTGAAAATTTCTAGTGGAATTATAAATCACCTATCCCATCCTCAATGCATGTATGCATGGAAGAATAAACTATGAAGAAGTTAGATTTGATCCCAAGTCCTAACTAGTAGAAGTAAAAGGATTTAACCAATTATGTTATCCTTGTAAGACAATTGCCAATTGATCTAAAACTCCTTTTAAAACCTTTCACATTACAAATCAAACTCACACTTGTTCCACGCCAATTGTCCCAATCACAATGTCAATGAAGACTAAACCTAATCACAAACAAAATGTCCCCAACAAACCACTACATCAATGTTGTCATCTAATGTTTCAAATACATTGAAGCTTTTCAAACATAATGTAGTTGGCATTAATTGGGAGATGAGGATTATTGCTAGTTGTAATCATAGATGATTATTGTTGTTCTAAAATGTTTATTGTCATTAACTTTTGTATCATGTATTTACAAAATGACAAAATACTTGTTAGTTTATCCTTTTTCTTAAAACTTTGTTTTAACTAAAAAGCTTGAAGAAACTTTGATTTAAAAGAATATTTAGGTGATTGAAGCCCGTAGAGATTTTGTTGTTTAAAAAATGATTGAGTTATTGTTTAAAGAGACAAGTCATAGACTATTTAAGTTAAGTTAGCAATGACTTGTAAAAGAATAATATTATAGACTTAGTAATAGGAACGACGAATCAATATAAAAACACATGGTACATTTATTTTATCCACAATTTCTTTATATCATTTTTTACATTCTCTTAAAGCCCTCATTTGACAAAAGTTTTTAAATTTACTAAAGTCTTTATAGATATAATTTAATCCCATTCAATCTCGTTCTTGTGTTTATTCATACTCCATAACATACAATTGAAAATTAAATTTTTTTTTATTTGCATCGATTACTTTACAATAACACCCTTGATAATAATATTTAGTCACAGTAATTATAATTAAAAAAATACATATAGTGAATTGTATCATTTATGTAATATAAGTTACATAACACCACAACTCAAACATTTTTTTCACGATAATAATATCACTTTAATTACTACATCAATTGACGTATATATCTTACAAATTACTATCTTCTAAAATTCCAAACAAAGATATACTATAAACATCATTAAAATAAATAAATAAAATATTTATTATTATTTATAAATAAAAATAATCTCAATTACACAAAAATGTTACAAAATATTAAGAAGATACATATCAAATAGTAGTTCTTCAAATATGTTTCATTAATATAATTATTTAAATACTAGAATCACTTTGAAAAAAAAAAGTTGCAATAAAAGCTTTTAAACTTGTCATTAATATTATTAAAGATGTCAAGTGAAGAATATATATTAATTATTAAATAAAAATAAAAAGAAATATATATTTTAAATATAGTTGTATATAAAGATGCATTATTCAACTCAATGCATAGGGCAATAATGTAGAAAAAGGTAAATATAAAATAAAATTAAAAAAAATTGAAAAGAAAAAGTGTAAATACAAAAATAAAAATAATTAAGAGATGAACTTTTCTAAGCAATGTAGGAAAAGGTAAATATAAAATAAAATTAAAAAATTGAAAAGAAAAAGTTTAAATACAAAAATAAAAATAATTAAGAGATGAACTAACTTGAAGTGTGAATTCAACTTCCTTGATATTAAAAAGAGACATGTTGTGATACATATACCAACTTCTTTAATATCTATACCTATATATAAAAGTGACTCCCTCTTTTAGTGTACATAATTTTTGGATTGTTTTATCCTTAAATTTTTAAATAATAAAAAATAATGTTAAAAATTAATTATTATGCTTACAAACCTAAGATACCCGCAACCTTTAGCTATGAGGACTAGACATAACACTAATTAATTTAATAAACACTAATAATTTTTAAACACCTTTAATAAATATAGAGTCATGGAATGTCTTGACCCTACTAATATATATAATCATTATGGTAATGATAATAGTAATAATGACATTTAGTAATGACAACAATGTCATCATTGTTATAATTATCGTTATTGTCACTTATGTCACTATCATCATAGGTACGTGGTAGTGATGACAGTAGTAAAGACGACTGTTGAAAAATTATTTTAAAATTAAAATTTTAATTAAATGTTTTTATTTAATTATTTTCTTGTTACAATATTTTATTAAGTATTTATTTAACGTTTTAGAGTTTTTATGGTTTTAATATATTTAACCAATTCTTATTCATGTGTAAATTATTATTTTTTTAATTATTGGTGCATATTAGAAAAAATTGATTGTTGTTGTGCATACTTGTTCCAAATTTGTTGCATGTTTTTAGTGTCGTGGCCACATGTGCACACTAACTAAGTCAATATATATCGGTGTTGAGAAAATATGAAACATAACACACAAGACACTACATATATAAATGAAATAAATTATAGTGTGTAAATGACCTTCATCTATTTTTACTAAATATCATTTGATATTATTATTAAAGTGCTTTGTGTTTTGGGGTGAAATTTTTTGATTCAAAGAATTTTTGCTATACATGATTGATTTAACTAGTTGTCATATTTAGGAGAGGAGTGCAATACAAATTAGTTTATATTGTATTAATAAATTTTCTTTCTGATAATAATGTTTAGCGTATTTCAATCAAACTTCTCTAAACCCTTTTTTTCTTATTTATTCCTATCTTTATTATTTTAATTTATCATTTGTTGATGTTCATCCTTATGTAATTCATCAATAAATAATATTTATATTTTTCCTATTTTTATGTTCTAACAATCTTGGAGAGAAAAGAATGTTTCTAAATTAGAATTCATTTTTATAAAAAAAAATTTAAACATGTAAATAGAAATTATTACTTTAGATGTCAATGCTTTGAATTGGTGAAAATTTGATGAACTTTGTTTTGATGTGATAAAGGATGAATGCTAGATATTGGTGATATAAAGGCAATAAATTATTTGGGGAAACTAATAAATTGTGCTACCATGTAAAAATGTGGAGATGAAGGTAAAGAATGACAAACCAATAGTCGTGATTGGTCATATGGTTCAATAATGATGTTGGTTGTGGGTAGCAAAATGTATTTGAACTACAATGGTTGAGATCAAGATGAATAATGGATAACATAATTGCAAAACACCTGTGTCATGACCTTGAGATATGGTCTAGTTCTCTATGATCTTTAGTTGTGTAAACATGCCTTGGTAAAAAAAATATATATTTATCATGGTAACCAAAATATATTTATTTTGACATGTAATTATATTCTTTCCATTCCTCAAACTTAAAAGAATTTTCTTAAAGTTTTCATCTTTAAAGCAAAAACATTATGTTTGCATTTTTTTAAGCATGAAAGTTGATATTTTTTTTGGTTAATTATGTGATATTGACACTTTTATGTCCAAAATGAATTAATACTTGTTGAATCATAGTGAATTTACAACTTATTACTTTCATTGATTTGTAACTAAAGGAAATGGAAGGATGTCAATAGTTTCATGGCTTAATGTTGACAACTAAGAAAATTGGACAATGAAATTGAAAAGCATATACGTTTTATGAGTTTCATCTTTGAAAAGAGGAAACACTTACACTCACAAAATTTTTGTGGGAAAATAAGAAAATATTGGATAATTAATTAATGTTATTAATTATTATTGTTGTTATTTATCCTCTTATATCTCATGAGTTTTGATTTTTAAATAAGTATTGATGAAAATCTAATCCCCAAGAATTCCTTTGGAAGGGGTAAGACCAAGAAAGGTGAAGGTTGATCCATAGGAGAGCTCACATTTGAAGACTATTGGGCCTTTAACTAGGTTCATGGTTATGAGGCTAGAGGAGGTATTTTTTTAGACCTATGCTCAATATGAACATTGAGTATGATTTCTCTTTTTAGTCTCATAGTCTCTATTGTACATACCTTGTATAGTTTGAGTTTTTGTACCTTATATATAGTAGATACTTGTATAGGTGCATTTTGTCTTTGTATTTGTAAGGTACACCTTTTTCCTTTTCTTATAGGTCATCCCTTTAGGAATTTAGGGTATGTTGTTTGGAGACTTTTGCTCCATTTGACCTTGTATTAAGGGTTATTTTTAATAGTAGAAGTGAGGTGACAAATAATAAAGTGTGTAGGTGAAGCTAACAATTAGGCCTGTAGTGGGCTTAGGCTAATTTTACATATTAGGCTTGTTTTACTCCATTTAATCCAAGGAATTGATTTAGCTAGGTCTCACCCTCATTAGGTGAACCTAATTAAACCAATTCCAACATTTTTGGATTGGATTAAGTGAAGGAAAACAAGATGGGCCATCTAGCTCTTCTAGCTTCTCCCACAC